TCTCAAAAAAAAAAAAAAAAAAAAAAAAAGATTGAAAGTACGAAAATTTTCTCTTTATTCTTTCATTAAACATCATTCAACTGAAATATAAAATAAAGTTCAGTATTAAAGATATTATCTAATTTAGTTTTATCTACTTAATAGCACTAATCTCCTTATACATAAAGTAAAAAGTATGAAATCTTTCTTGGTTGGTAGCAAATGTGGATTCCATTGTAGTTGAGAGTTAGACTTATGTGCCATGTACTTGGCATGTTTATGTTAAAAAAATTGTACCAATTATTGCCTCAGACATTATAATAGTATGATTTTAAGTGTTTGATGCTTGTGCCTTAAATTTTTTTTTTTTTTTTTTGCTTTTTATACCCCTCCCTCCTCATTTTGGAGATGCAGAATAGCATAATGAACTCTGAAGTCAGAAGTTTGAATCTTGGTTCTGCAGTTTACTAGTTTATGTCTTTGGGTACATGGTGGCATAAACAAAGTACCTGCCTCATAGGATTGTGAGAATTAAATAAGTTATGTATAAAGTACTTACTGACATATAGGAAGAGCTTAAATGCTAACCTTTATTCTGATCTACTCAGCGTGCTTTGTACTTCATTAAGATGCCAAGTAATTTTGCTTTCTTTTCTCTTTGTAGATTTATGGTGGATTATTTTCTGAAGATAAGTGTTGGTACAGATGCAAAGTACTGAAAATCATCAGCGATGAAAAGGCAGGAAATTAACTGTTCATTTTTTTTTTTCTTTAAGAAATATTTATTGTGGCTCCAAAATTTGATGTTTATTTACCCCGTCATTGCTTATTCATAGTAGTGATACCTGGTTCAGTGATTAAAACACGGAAGAAATTAATTGCTAAAAAACATGTTGTTTTATAATCACCTCAGATTATTCAAGAATAGGTTATATAATATGTAGGTTATTTTTGGTGCCTAGTTCTTTTTGTCTCAGTTCTTTTTTCTTTGAGATGGAGTCTTTCTCTGTCGCCCAGGCTGGAGTGCAGTGGTACGATCTTGGCTCACTGCAACCTCCTCCTCCCAGGTTCAAGTTATTCTCCTGCCTCAGCCTCCCAAGTAGCTGGGATTACAGGCGCCCACCACCACACTGGCTAATTTTTGTATTTTTAGTAGAGACAGGGTTTCACCCATGTTGATGAGGCTGGTCGGACTTCTGACCTCAGATGATCCGTCCACCTCAGCCTCCAAAAGTTCTGGGATTACAGGAGTGAGCCACTGTGCCCAGCCTACCTCAGATCTTAATAGTTATATTTGGTTCTTGCTAATGAGTAAATTTTAAATGTTCTTTCCATTAAGCTTTATGAGTAGGAGAAGAACATTTTGATTGATCCTTCTGAAGTTCGGTATATCTTTTATTTAGTTGATGTGAATATTGTTAATAATAATGATTGATTTGCCACTTTCTTGTGCCTGGGTTAAATGTGGTGAGTTTTCTTTGTGTTAAGCTTTTTTTTTTTTACATTGTGAATTCTTGGAGGATTTTTAAGAGGATTTAGGGAGATAGAATTCTGAATAGCTGTTTGGTGACAGTTGCATATTGCAGGCTGTGTGAAAGCACCTCTGTAGGATTTCCTTTAGTGTTTTTTCTACACCTGCTTTCTGTACTTAAATTATAATATGTATGTTTTTACTGAACCTGGGAAAGCGATTAAGGATAAAAGATAAAAAGTTAAAAATATGTATGTTTTATAAATATTTTCTTTGGTGTAATAAGATGCTAAGATGTAACAATTTGATTAGTATTCTGAATAACTTGGTTTAAAAAAAATCTCATTTTTTGCTGTCTTAGGTAATGGTTTATTTTAGTGGAATGGAACTTTCTAATTGACCTTTCTCCTGTGATTTGACAATTGGAGATGATATTTTGCATTTGCTTTTCACTTGGCTTTAATTTTTTAAATTAAAGGGCAACGTGATGTTTGACCTTGAAATAACTATTTTTCTTTTTTACTTTTTAAGCGGATGTAGAGCTGGAGGTAAGGGTGGTGAATCTGATTAGTTTACATGGTCTACCTGGAGTGAGTTTAATTGTATCAAAGGAAGTTTGATAACTTTGCCTTTCTTTTCAGATTTTATTCTTTCCAACTTGAAATTGAATTGAATGTTGCTTGATTTTAACATTAGGAGAAACAGGAGAGGGCTGTAAGCTTCATAGGTTGATGTTTATTTAAAATATCAATTGTCTAAAAACAAAAAACACCCTAATGAGAAATAGTACTGTTGGAATTTAACTAGTAGCAAGTAAAGAAATCACTGGAATTTCATGGCCTGTGGATTTTTTTTTATTTTGAAGATATTATTAGAGAGCTATTTCTGAATGTATTTTGTCATTTTGAGATAAGAATGCTATTTTGATACACAGGTCATTAACAGAGAGCAGCAAATTGGTGGTTTCTTTGTAAATATTTAATCTGGGGTCAGTATTAGTATTTGTCTCTTATTTTTTCCAGTGTCTGGTGCGGTACATTGACTATGGAAATACTGAAATTCTAAATCGATCTGATATAGTTGAAATTCCTTTGGAGCTGCAGTTTTCTAGTGTTGCCAAAAAGTATAAACTTTGGGGACTACACATTCCTTCTAATCAAGAAGTTACCCAGTTTGATCAGGCAAGTCATGGATTTTAAATGTTTTTGCTAATGAAAGTAAAACTATGTGCTTGAAACAAAATGTAAGTATAATTAAATTTTACTTGAATAGAAAAGTCTGTATAAATTAGTGAAAAATAGGAATTATAATTAGCAATTACATATTTATACTCATTTTTGCTAGGTAAGCATTGAACAGGTAAGAATGACATATACATATGTAATATATATAAATAGTTTCTTCTGATGTTTAAAAGGATAGTCTTTTTGTTTTGAGATGGAGTCTCACTTTGTTGCCCAGGCTGGAGTGTAGTAGCGCGATCTTGGCTCACTGCAACCTCTGCCTCCCAGGTTCAAGCAATTCTTCTGCCTCAGCCTTCCAAATAGCTGGATTACAGGTCTGTGCCACCATGGCCAGGTAATTTTTGTATTTTTAGTAGAGTCGGGGTTTTACCATGTTGGCCAGGCTGGTCTCGAACTCCTGACCTCAGGTAATCTGCCCACCTTGACCTCCCAAAGTGCTGGGATTACAAGCATGAGCCACTGCGCCTGGCCAAGGATAGTCTCTTATATGATGGAGAAAATAATGAATGCAGTTATTTCTATAATTGTTTTGGGAAGGTATTTATTAAATAAAAGTGATCTTTACCTAGTCCTGATCATAAATACCACAAATTTGAAATTAACGGGATTATAATCAGATTTTATCATTTTGGCAGAGGCTGATACTGTTTGATGTAAAAATTGGCAGCAGATGTTTTGCTCATGTGGCTTCTAGTTCATATTCCTTTCCACTGAATTTTGGGTTGGTAACCTAATTCTGGAAGACATTCGATAATTTCAGGGGTAGTCTTACAGGAATCCTACCTCTTTTAAAATCTGTTGTACAATGATGATTCTTTTGGTAGATGGTAATGCTGGTAAGAGATACTACATTGCAAAGTAATCAGGTTTGTAATTATTATAATAGCTCAAGTAGCTCATGTGGAAAACAATTTAATCATTGTATGCATTGTAAAGAAATTAATTAAAATTTCATTAATTAATTGAAATTAATTAAAAATTAATTAATTGAAATTAACTAAAATTGCCTCTTTATTTTCCTTTGAGAATCTTGTAGGTGTGTTGGGTATAATTTTGTATGCTATGTAGTTACTTACAGGAAACATTTCTGTACATAAAACTCAGGCTTTCATAAACATGAAATACAGATATTATAAAATTATACCCTAAGTTTCTGGTTTAAAATCTAAAGTTTGTTACTTTCTTCTTTAATATAAATGCTTTGATCAAGGTTGGGGAGGCTTGTTTTGGATTTCTTTCATGCCTAAAACTCTAAAATCTTGTTTACAGACCTTAGAATATTATCTGCTCTCACTTTATTTTACATATAGGGAAATTGTAGCCTAGAATAATTAAATGACTTCAAGTCATGAAGCTAATTAGGGAAGAGCTAGGCCTAGAACTCAAGTCTATTGTTCTTTTCATAGTAAGATGCACAGATTTGTGTTGATTGAAATACACATGAATCAAGTGGGAAAAAGACATTAAAAAAAGTTAATTTTAGAATTGAATGAATAAACTGAAGCTGAGAATGTTTTTGTATGTTTCAAAGATTCTTTATAGATGGTACTGTATATAAACATTTATATATATATATTTTTTTGTTTTGTTTTGCTTTGTTTTTTTTTGGAGGGGATGAAGTCTTGCTCTGTCGCCTAGGCTGGAGTGCAATGGCGTGATCTCAGCTCACTGCAACCTCCACCTCTTGGGTTCAAGCGATTCTCCTGTCTCAGTCTCCTGGTAGCTGGAATTACAGGCGCCTGCCACCATGCCCGGCTACCTTTTGTATTTGTAGTAGAGATGGGGTTTCACCATGTTGGCCAGGCTGGTCTTTGAACTCCTGACCTCAAGTGATCCCCCCTACCTGTGCTTCCCAAAGTGCTGGGATTACAGGCATGAGCCACCCGGCTAAACATTTGTATTTGGATGCTTAGTTCAGTAAAAAGATCATTGAGTAGAGTTAAGCTAATTGGCACACAATATTTTCTGGAAAAAAATGAACTATTCTTGAATAGCTCTGCTTAAAAGGCCCATGTTTAGTTATTAATTCTCAGTCCAAATTTCAACTCTAATCTTTTATATGAAGTCTTTGCTAATACCCACTTACCCAGTCCTCTGTGGTGTTTTAGTCACTCCGTATATAAAGCCTATAAAGTTGTAATTTTTTCCTCCTCTACAAGTCTAGTGAGTTTGTAGAGATAAGTATTCACTTTTCTATGTCTAATTTCCCTGCCAGGTAGGTGTTAGATGAGCATCAGTTTATCTAGCATTTGAGTAAATAGATGAACAGTAGGGATTCAGTAACAACACAAATGCCTCCCTCCTTCCCCTTTTCCAGAAGGTGTCCTGGGCACTGAAATTCCTTCACATCTTTAACTAACACTTTCACGCTATGCTACGGCACAGTCAGAATCGATACCCAGAATGGTAGTTTGCTGAAGATCAAGCTTATTACATTACTGTTCCTACGTGCCTGACTTTAAAAATTATATGTAGAGTAAGGGAATGAGAGCTAGAGCTTGGAATTTGTGTTTAACAATTTAAAGACCTTTTAGCTTGTTTTCTAATATATACAAGCAAAATTCAGAGGAATAAAGTAGAAAGCAAATGATCCTTTCTTGTTTCTGAATGAAGCTTACCAGTTTGGAAAACAGAATGAAATATATTTCTAAAAAGTGACATTAATCTTTTTTAATGATTGAAAGCCGTATGTTCTAAACCAATGACCAGATTTATTTTAAAAAGTTAAGTTTTGCCAAGTGCAGTGGCTCATGCCTGTGAAGCCCAGCACTTTGGGAGGCTGAGGTGAGTGGATGGCTTGAGTCCAGGAGTTTGAGACCAGCCTGGGCAATATGGCAAAACTCTGTCTGTACAAAAAATACAGAAAAATTAGCTGGGCGTGGTGGTACATGCCTGTAGTCCCAGCTACTCGGGAGACTGAGGTGGGAGGATTGCTTGAGCTTGAGGGGTCAAGGCTGTGAAACCCTGTCTCAAAAAAAAAAAAAAAGTTAAGTTTTATACCTTTTAAATACCTAAATATATATTTTTAAGTGCAGATATGTATCTCCAGCTCATAAGGGTTAGTGGAAAATATATTTCTTATGATAAAAATCAAATGTTTATATGTAATATATATAAAAACATACATATTTTTGGTAAAGTATAGTATTAAAACACCCATGTATCATATACTCTGTCATTCTTTTTGTTAGTTGGAACTGAAGGAGACTCAGATTTTACTTCAAGTTCAGAGTTCTGTGTTTATGATTATATATGATTCAGGGAGAATCTGTTTGAACAACTTCATACTAATTGTGACTGGTGATTGTAAGTAAAATGAATTTGAATTCAGAGAGAAATCTAAAATTAGATTTCTGCATAAAAATTCTATGCAAGGAGTGATGGACCTTTAGAACATTCAGCTTTAGGTAATTGAAACTTTTGTAGAAAATAGGTTATTTCCATTTGAATTCACATATTGCCCAAAGACAGGATTCCTTGAAATATTAATAATTGCACATATACCAGCAATAATTTTCAAAGACTTCCTAGGGGCATAAGTTGTTCTTGAATTTTTAGATAGACTTTTGATGATAAGAGTTGAAACCAAGAGTTTTTGTGTGAAAGAGGTTAACTGGAAAACTACATCTAATTGATTAAAATCCTAACATATATTTCAATTATTTACATTTTGAGGTTGTTAGCTTTGCCTGCTTGATCCCATTTGATTGGTGATAACTTCTGGACCTCATTTGTTACTTATATTGATATTCTTGGTGAATTCAAGCCTCTTGATATAATGTGTATATTTCTGAATTTTATGCCTTAAAAAAATTATAAAACCTGTGTTTTTGTTAACCTAAAGTATTTTCTTATTTTGTTTTGTGGATTTAAAAAATTATTTTTTCACCTAGGCACAGGGTGTGTGCCTGTAATCATAGCTACTCAGGAGACTGAAGTGGGAGGATTGCTTGGGCCCAGGAGTTCAAGACCAGCTTGAGCAAACATAGCAAGACCCCATATACAAAATTATTTTTTTCTTTTTTTTTTGGGTAGTGATAATTGGTGATTCTTGAGCATATGTAGTTTGAGTCTCCTTCTCTGCCCCTTCAGTTGCATCCTTCTAGGCCCAGGTATCCTTAACCTGGTGTTAAAATAAATGTGTCGGCCGGGCGCGGTGGCTCACGCCTGTAATCCCAGCACTTTGGGAGGCCGAGGTGGAGGGATCATGAGGTCAGGAGATTAAGACCATCCTGGCTAACACGGTGAAACCTCGTCTCTACTACAAAATACAAAAAATTAGCTGGTCATGGTGGTGGGTGCCTGTAGAGCTGAGATCACGCCACTGCACTTCAGCCTGGGTGACAAAGCCAGACTCCATCTCAAAAAATAAAAAAGAAAAAAAAATGTGTCCCAATTAAATAATTCTTTTTTGTAATTGTATGTATTTCATGCATTTAAAAACATTATGAGAAAAAGTCCAAAGATTTCACCTGACTGATAAAGGAGCCCCATGGCCGCAAAAAGGTTAAGAATTCCTATGTAAGTCTCACTTTTACCCTCTATACTACCGTGTAGTTAAAAAAGAGAAAATAGTTCTTAAAAATATTATTTAGTTTCTTGGACCTTGACTTCCCCACAGCCCCTATTTCTTTTAAAAATGTGGCTGGTTTGTATTTGGTGGTTTTTAGTGTGTTTTTTACACTCTTGTTTCTCTGGTTATTATAGGTCGGATGTCCTATTTGATTTGCTTTGTTTGCATAAACTATATTGTTTTTCATATTTATAGAGTGGGAATGTAGCTAAAAATACAGCTCCACCTTCTAAGAGAGACACGTTTCATCAGATGATGTCCCTATTTCAAGGAAGTTGTGAACCAGTAAATTTGAGCAGTACCTACCCATTTTGTGTTTTAAATTTATGCTTCATATATTCTGAAAAAGAATACTTACTTTTAATTTCCTTTATAGTATGCACAGGGTAAAAATCAGGAAAATAACCTAGAGAAATTTGGGAAGAGTAGTTAAGATTGTGTCAAAGTAATTTTAGTAATTACAATTTTATGGAGGAGTAGATAAGTTCTTACTAAAATTAAGTTTCAATATGTTCCAATCCCAAATATGTTTTAGGTATATCTTTGCTTAGTTCTGTTGATGGATATTCAAGAGCTCTAAGTTAGCAAGCACCTAATTTCTCATATGCCAGTTGTACAGTTGTAGCCCTCTTAAGCAAAAGTCTATTTAAGAGAGTTTTGAATGTAGAAGGCCAGACACGGTGGCTCACCCCTCTAATCCCAGCACTTTGAGAGGCCAAGGTGGGTGGATCACTTGAGGTTAGGAGTTTGAGACCAGCTCAGCTGACATGGTGAAACCTCATCTCTACTAAAAATACAAAAATTAGGTGGGTGTGGTGGTGTGTGCCAGTAGTCTCAGTTACTGGGGAGGCTGAGGCAGGAGAATCGCTTGAATAGGGGAGGCGGAGGTTGCAATGAGCCAAGATTGTACCACTGAACTCCAGCCTGTGCAACAGAGTGAGATTCTGTCTCAAAAAAGAAGGAAAAAAAGTTTTGAATATGTATTTGTGACACCTCACATTTTATAATTTCAGTTTGTTGATTTTTAAATAATTTGTATTTTGTGCTTTCAGTTTGTTTTTTCACTTCTGTTCGTCTTACTTTAAAATCAGAGTTCCTGAGTGCCTCTAAAACTTTTAAAGTTTTGTAAAATTGAGTACCTTTTCTAGATATCAGAGATTCATTTTTATGTGCTGTTGCTTTTCAGGAGAGCATTGTATTTACTTGGGGCCAAAGTAGTCAACGTAATCTGCTGGGTTAAAAAAAACTATTCTAGGATATTTACTTAGTAATACATTTTTAGATTTATAAATATGGCTGCCTATACAAGTATTTAGCTCTACTTCATTTTAGCAAATGTGTAATTGGAATACATTCATATATGTGGAGATGTATATTTGCATATTATAGACAACATCAAGGTAAGACTTCTGTATATAGAGATTTTAGAATGAAGAAATACGATGCTTGGAAAAAATGGGTAGAAACAAAATAAGGGAAGAGAAACATGTTGGTGTAGCTGGTTTATGTTTTCTTCTTTCTTAGGGCACAACCTTTTTGGGGAGCTTGATTTTCGAAAAGGAAATTAAAATGAGAATTAAAGCAACCTCTCAAGATGGAACAGTTATTGCTCAGGCTGAGTATGGCAGTGTGGATATAGGGGAAGAAGTGTTTAAGAAAGGATTTGCAGAGAAATGCAAACTTACTTCCAGAACTGACATCTGTGAGGAAAAAAAATTGGATCCTGGTCAGCTTGTTCTCAGGAACCTCAAAAGCCCCATTCCTTTGTGGGGGCATAGATCAAACCAGTCAACTTTCAGCAGGCCCAAGGGGCACTTAAGTGAGAAGCTGACTCTTGACTTGAAGAATGAAAATGATGCAGGAAATCTTATGACATTTCCAAAGTAAGAATTTAGTCTTCACTTAGATTTCTAATTCATTGTAGAGGTCCCTGTCATAGTAGAATAGAAGTTAAGGCTTATGCTTTTGGAATCCTTAACTGTGTCAGTGATTTTAAGGGCTGATGCTGATATTTCTACTTTTCTCAAATGTATTCCTCTCTGCTTTAGCAGGGGTATTTTCATTACAAGCTATTTTGAAAGAAAAATAATTCCTGAATTATTTAAAAGTTTACATACAAACTTTTCATGCCAACTCATTGAAATACACTTATCAAAAATAAAAATCTGCTCCCAAATCTGAATTATTCAGGCAAAGTCAGAATTTCAGATAAGATTTGAAATTTTTCCTATGACTTTAGGAATATTTTAAAGAGTTTCAGGGAATTGCCTTTACTTTTTAAATAAAAGTGAGACTCTTTCTTCTTCTTGTGAAAACTTGTGGTGGAGTTTGATTATTCCGAATAGCTTACTTTTTAGATAATTTTGAATCATCAACTTGAAGCAGAAAGCCAGATTTGATATTTATATGTATCAAAACAGTCTTCTATTTCATGGTCCAAGACATGATGCTGTATCTTGGATGATATAGTTGTTTGATGGGATCTCTTCAGTGCTTTAGGAGCTAAACTGTCAAATGGTGGGGGAGGCGGTGAACAGGGGGATCACAGGGAGGAGGCATTGGAAAAAAACTAATACAGAAATGCTTTTTACTTTGTTCTTTGTAGTTGATAGTGCTATGAAGAAGTTGGAATATATTTTCTTTGAGAATTAGAGGCATTGTTGAATTATGACTTCAGTTATAAAATCTTGTTTGCATTAAATTATTTTTTAATATTATGAACTAGGTAGATATTTTAGTTTTCAAAATTAACTTTCAGATATATTGTGGTATAAAAAGACCAAGATAACTTAGATTTGTTTTCTCTGTCATCCTTATTCAGTTTGTTTTTTAAAATAAATGAATTTGTTTTTATAGGGAAAGTTTGGCTGTTGGTGACTTTAATTTAGGGTCTAATGTCAGCCTGGCAAAAATTAAGCAGGACCAGAAACTGATTGAAGAAAATGAAAAACTTAAAACAGAGAAGGACGCTCTTCTCGAAAGTTATAAGGCATTAGAATTGAAAGTAGAACAGATTGCCCAGGAGCTGCAGGTATGTTCAGTGGCTTAAGGTGAAGAGTGTCCAACTGGGAAATCTGTGTACTCATCTGCTGCTATTTATTTTTCTGTCACTTTCCTTTCCTTCCCCACCTCGTCCTCTACTTCTTTGCTAATCCCTGTATTTGTTTATAGGTGAATTTTTGTCTTATACTCCAGACTAATCATCTTTGGATTTCATTGGATGTTTGAAAATTTAATAGTTTCTAATTTACATTTCCCTTTATGTTCTAAAAACTTTTCAACTAAGGCAATTTTCAAACACTGTAAAAGGAGAGAGACTTGAATAATTAATTCTCATGTACCCATCACCCAGTTTTTACAATTATAACACATGGCCAATCTTTTTAAAAATTTATACTTCCTGGATTATTTTAGAAGTCCCATTGCTATTATTTCATAGTCTTCAGTATGTATGACTAATAGAAAAAGACTTTAAAAAACCATAATAATAATACTATTCATACTTAAAAATAAACAATAATTCCTTAATATTATTTATATCTAGGCAGTATTCAAATTTGCCAGATTGTGTCATGAATGCCACGTGATTGTAGACATGTTGATTGTAGTTCTCTCCAATCAGGATCCCAGTTAGGCACATACATTGCATTTTGGTTGATATTTCTCTTAAATTGCTTTAATCTGTATCCTTGTGTTGCTTAACTGGCTTTTTGATCTCCACGTGTGTCTTCTTTTATGGTAATCAGGTCTCCAGATTTGCTCAGATTCTAGTTCAAAAATATTTCCCCCCCAGGAATACAGTGTGGTTGATAAATGAATGTGTGTGTGTGTGTGTGTGTGTGTGTTTTACACCAAATCTGTTGTTCCTGCACTAGTTCTCCAATTCTCTGACACCAACTGGGTGTCTAATAATTCAGTTCCATTCTGACACTACACTACCTGTACTTAGCATATACCCTACAAGTTAAGGACTCAGTTCCATAATCTGCCTCTACTTTAGATGCCAGCCACAAGTGGGGTCCCCAGGCTGCTTGCATACATACCTACCCACCCTAAATTTGGGGTTTCCCATGACCCTGCCTGAGGTTAGATAATTCACTAGAACTACTCACAGAACTCAAGGAAGTGCTATACTTAGAGTTGTATTATTAAAGATATAACTCAGAAACAGCCAAATAATGGAAAATAGGCATAAGGCAAGGTACTGGGGCAGGAGGTACAGAGCTTCCATGCCCTCTCTGAGTGTACCACCCTCCCAGGTCATGGATGTGTTCATCAACCCAGAAGCTCCCCAAATCTCATTATTCAGAGTTTTTTTAGTTTTGTTTGCTTGTTTGTTTTGAGACAGTCTTGCTCTGTTGCTTAGGCTGGAGTGCAGTGGTGTAATTTCTGCTCGCTGCAACTTCTGACCCCGGACTCAAGCAATCCACTTATTCCAGTCTCCTGGCTAGCTGGGACTACAGGCGTGTGCCCCATTCCTGGCTAATTTTTTGTGTTTTCTTTTCTTTTCTTTTTTTTAAACTAAAACTTGCCTTATTTATATCCCCAATGGCGTGATCTTGGCTCATTGCAACCTTTGCTTCCTAGGTTCAAATGATTGTCCTGCCTCAGCCTCCTGATAGCTGGCATTACAGGCACCCACCACTATGCCTGGCAAATTTTTGTATTTTTGGTAGAGACAGGGTTTCACCATGTTGGCCAGGCTGGTTTCGAACTCCTCAGGTGATCCACCTGCCTCTGCCTCCCAAAGTGCTGGGATTACAGGCATGAGCCACTGTGCTCAGCCCACATTTTCTTTATCCAGTCTATCATTGATGGGCATTTGTGTTGGTTCCAAGTCTTTGCCATTGTAAATAGTGCTGCAGTAAACATACGTGTGCGTGTGTCTTTATAGTAGAATGATATATAATCCTTTGGGTATATACCCAGTAATGGGATTGCTGGGTCAAATGGTATTTCTGGTTCTAGATCCTTGAGGAATTGCCACACTGTCTTCCGCAGTGGTTGAACTAATTTGCACTCTCAGAACTAGTTTAGAAGTGTAGAAGTGTTCCTCTTTCTCCACATCCTCTCCAGCATCTGTTGTTTCCTGACTTTTTAATGATTGCCGTTCTAACTGGTGTAAGATGGTATCTCATTGTAGTTTTGATTTGCATTTCCCTAATGACCAGTGATGATGAGGTTTTTTTCATATGCTTGTTAGCCGCATAAATGTCTTCTTTTGAGAAGTGCCTGTTCATATCCTTTGCCCATGTTTTGGTGGTGGTGTTTTTTTCTTGTAAATTTGTTTTAAGTTCCTTGTAGATTCTGGATATTAACCCTTTGTCAGATGGATAGATTGCAAAAATTTTCTCCCATTCTGTAGGTTGCCCGTTCACTCTGATGGTAGTTTCTTTTGCTGTGCAGAAGCTCTTTAGTTTAATTAGATCCCATTTGTCAATTTTGGCTTTTGTTGCCATTGCTTTTGGTGTTTTAGTCATGAAGTCTTTGCCCGTGCCTATGTCCTGAATGGTATTGCCTAGGTTTTCTTCTAGGGTTTTTATTGTTTGGGGTTTTACATTTAAGTCTTTAATCCATCTTGAATTAATTTTTGTATAAGGTATAAGGAAGGGGTCCAGTTTCAGTTTTCTACATATGGCTAGCCAGTTTTCCCAACACCATTTATTAAATAGGGAATCCTTTCCCCATTTCTTGTTTTTGTCAGGTTTGTCAAAGATCAGATGGTTGTAGATGTGTGGTGTTATTTCTGAGGCCTCTGTTCTGTTCCATTGATCTTTATATCTGTTTTGGTACCAGTAGCATGCTGTTTTGGTTACTCTAGCCTTGTAGTATAGTTTGAAGTCAAATAGTGTGATGTCTCCAGCTTTGTTCTTTTTGCTTAGGATTGTCTTGGCTATACAGGCTCTTTTTTGGTTCCATATGAAATTTAAAGTAGTTTTTTCTAGTTCTGTGAAGAAAGTCAATGGTAGTTTGATGGGAATAGTATTGAATCTATCGATTACTGCGGGCAGTATGACTATTTTCATGGTATTGATTCTTCCTGTCCACGAGCATGGAATTGTATTTTCTGTACAGGGGGGGTTTGCTATGTTGCCTGGGCTGGTTTCAAACTTCTGGGCTCAAGCAACCCTTCCTCTTTTGGCTCCAGAGTTGCTGGGACTACAGGTGAGCCACCATGCCTTACTAAATTAATGAATTTTAAACACATTTGACATGTTTTAATCCACTGAAGCCATTTTTTTTTTCTTTTCGATGCACACATTATCCCCTTTGAAGTCTTTTTAAATTAGCTGCTGTGTCCTTTTGACATCATAACAGATGATATTCATAATGGATAAATCACCATTATTAAGTTTTTCATTAATCTGTGACCTAATGATTTTTGCAGCCATCGATGATTGCTGTCTGCAGCCATGTTTTCATCAGGTTCTGTATTTCTTAGAAGGAAAATTCCAACTATTTGGTCATGGTGAAGTCTAGTTTGTTCAGTAAAGGCAAGCTAACTTGATTCATTCCCTTTATATGTACATGTTTTCAAAAAATAAGTTTATTCCCTAGCATTGTCCAGTGTTGACCAGCAAGGGTTATTTGTTCTCCTTAAGTGTTATTATGAACTAATGAATTTTAAACATATATGAGTGTTTTAATTAGCTGCAGCCATTATTCTTTTTGATGCCCAGCTTATACTCTTTGGAAGTCTTTTTAAGTTGTTGCTCTGCCCTTTTGATGTGATTCCAGTAGTCTGATAGCTTCCTTGTTTTCTGGTGTCACAAGATGTTCCGTGCTCATCTGCATTTCCTACCCTAATCCTGGAAGAGTTATTTCTCCAAGCTGTAGTTCTTTTTAGTGGCAAGAGGTATTTAGATACCAGACTTTGGGTTCTAGGGTTGTATATAGCTATTGATTTAGTCTTTGCTTCTAGGTTATGGAATGTTTAATGGATAGGGTTAGGAAATACTAATTTTATTTTCTAATAATGCTATACTGAGATACCATTTACATGCAGTAAAAATGCACAAGTGCTGTGTGGAGTTTGGTAAATTTTGACATATGTATACACGCATGTAACCTGAATCACCCTCATCAAGATTGGCTGATCAAACTAGCATGAATCAGATATTTCACCTAGAATCAAGCTCTACCAATAATTTCAGGGACACAGTTGGAAACAAAGAGATTCCTTTGTTCCAGAGCAGGTGCCCCAGTCTCTGACCAGAGGCTAGAATGTCTGCTGTGGCTACTGTTGCCAGGCATCAAACAATGTCTCTAAACTCTCATAAGGGTGCCATCTGTAGGACTGTGACTAGAGAGGGTGGGTCCCCTCTCAGGTGAACAGTGTTGGTATGAAGCAGTGGGGAGTGTGTTCTACTCAAGTCTTAAGTCTCACAGCAGCCTATAGCAGAGCTTTGGGTGTTGTTGCAGGTGTGCATAGGAGAGCCTGGCTTTTCTGCCCCTTCTTGGCTGGGCAGTAGCTGCAGTCAGCCTTAACTCAAGCCAAAGTTGGGGCACAGCTCAGAATTAAACTCTCAAGATGACAGTTTTGGCCTGTGCCCTGGGATACTAGGGCACCACCCAGGCGAGCAGCATGGGCAAAAAACTGTGGGAAGTGTAGTCTGATTGTGTCTCAGTTTCACAGCAGCCCATTGCAGGGTGGTGGGTATTCTATAGATATGTGTGGGGTAGCCTGGTTTCCCTGTTGGTCCTTTGCTGGGCAGTGACTGGGGCCATGTCAGCCCCAACTCAGGCCAAGGGCAGGACTCAGCCCAGTATTGAACTCAGAAAATGGTGTCTTGGGCATGGGACTAGAGAGAATGGGGCACCACCCAGCCAAGCAGCATGAGCAAGAAGGTGTAGGGAGTGTGATCTACTGATGTTTCAGTCTCAACAGCAGCTTGTAGCAGATGACAAGTATCCTCCTGGGGGTGCATGGGCATGCTTGTTCTCCTTCTCCTTTTTTGGAGCAGTACAGTGGCTGCAGCCATGTCTATAGGTCCCTGGTATCTAAACTCTTAAAGTAGCTCCCTGCTGAGG